TTGTGTGAGACATAGATGATCAATTCTTTCATATTTACATAAAAATACCTTCACGTACCATAAAGTATTACCAAGATCCAGAGACAAGACAACAAAAGATTTACTATTTATTTTCACCAAACAAGCCAAAGTGCACCTTGTTTTTTTGTTTCAAAGCCTAAAATTCTCGAAAAAGATCGACATCTTGACTACTTACATCTCATTCTCACTTACGCACTTGTGTAAGTACGAGGGGGATGGAGTAAGGCCGTAAAGGGGCAAGATGTTAAATGGTTGGTGTTTTAAGTAATTTTTATCATCGACACGATCGTGAGGGAGGCCCGCTGATGTATGGAGCTGACGGGTTAATAGTGATGTAGCGAGAACACTTAAACTTATCGATGTTTCTGTTGTCGCTATTTTTATCCTATAATAAATACAAACTTGATTTAAATTAAAACGTGGTAAACGTAGTATCAGTAGTGGAGCCGTGTTAGCTCAGATGGTTAGCACTCGCGGTAAATTTAACAGTACGTGAGCAACACGGGTTTGATCCCCGCCGGCACCAATGAAATTGTTAATTACAATTTAAAGTGCTGATTTACCACGTGCTCGGCGGTGAAGAAAACATCGTGAGTAAACCGGCATGTTTGAGAAATATGAAAAGAAAGTATTTCGAAGATATGTAAAGTTCGCCAACATGCATTGGGGCAGCGCGGCGGATACTTCCTTGCCCTAAAACCCTCTCAGAAATGAGAGGAGGCCTGTGCTCAGCAGTGGGATATATATATAATCTGTGACTTTAAAACATACTATCATATATTTCATATCTATACAAATAAATAAAATTTAAGTGTCTGTTTGTAATGTCAAAATAACAGCTTTTTACTAAATGCATATGAAAGTATTTACGGTACTTAGGTATAACAACAAAAACAATTTTTTAAATTTTTGTATGTATGTCTGTCTGTCTGTTTGTTCCGGCTAGTCCCCGAAACGGCAGATAGCTGATGTTATAAGGAGTAACTTAGGCTACTTTTAAATAAAAATATATATAAATATAAGTAAAATAATTAGGGTTCCGCGCAAAAAAATGAAAACCCATGAAATCCAATACTAACGCGGGCGAGGTCGCGGCTAGTATTATATAAACATGCAAAAGTCAAAGCATAAACTAAACCAGATTAAAAAAAAATTATAACAGTGAACGGAAGTAACGGAATTAATTACCAATAATTTCTTTTGTATACAAGTTAAGTTACTCATTTAGTAGGATCAAGAAGTTACATAGTAATGATAGTCACTTTTTACCCTTTTGAATATGACGTGTGAGCGACGACCAAAAACGTAATGATCAAATTTAGTTTTAAAAACCTTCACGAGACGAGCACTTTACTTATTGGCAATACAATTACATTGCGTTTGTAAACTGATTGTACTAACTTTTCCAGCCACCTTAAGGATACTTACTAAATAATCAACGATTTTATTTATGTGAAACATCATGTTTTTGGCTTAACGAATTTTGTTTGGTTTCTGTTTTTGGTATATAAGCTGCTACTAATTTCTTAGAGAAATATAATGCAGCAATCGAGATAAAATCAAAAAAATGGTTAAGAAAATTCTGTTAAAAAAGCCCACCATACACTCTGTGGTAGGACTCCCTTTCTGTTAACCTTCTTATATATTTCTGGCACCGACCAACAATGCTTACACTGCTATATTCCCGTCAGAAGGAGAGTCAATATAGTTGCAGGCTGTAAGGCATTCCATCTTTATCCTCAGATAAGACAACATATCTGTAGTCTTCTTTGTTTAAGGTTGGCTGCAGGTTACCATGGAGAAGTAACTACTTACCATCAGGTGGACTATACTTTCTAATATGAAAATGTGAAGATTATATTTCAAAATTTCTTTAATTTCATCGACTTGAACTTTGAATTTATGAAATGTTTGTCCATGAACTCAAATTCTAGAACAGCTATTGTCGCTTACGCCATTATAATCTTCTTTAATTAAATTCGTTGCGAATATTGAGGGACTTCCTGTCTTAACGCTTCATTAACTCGAGTTAGTTTCAAACTTATCCATAAATACCATAAGTTACATTAAAACATTATACTTAGTAAAAATATTCTATGTTCGTTTAATTTATATAATTTATTTCTGCGAAATATATCTAAAATATATAGAAAAACAAGAAAGTAAAAAAAAAATTGTTGTAGTAAGTAGGTCATGCGATCATAATCGAAATCAGTAAAATCAATTCATATTCATAAATGAACCTAAGAAGATAAAGATATTTAGATATGTTAAAGATTTGTTTTATATTACATACGTACATAAAATAAACCTTTTAAAAATCTAATAGTGGTATCTAACAGTGGTAGAACCACGCGGCAGCTTTTGCTGTCGCACAGATGGGTCGGCTCGAACCGGGGTGGTACCACGACCTCACAGAAAACCAGCGTGAAGTAGAGGTTTACCTCTGCGTTTCGCTTGGTGAGTGCAGGTGGCCGGAGGCCCTTTTTACTGGAAATGAGGCATTCCATCTTAGTCCTCACGGGTGACAACGCATCTACATTTTGATTTCTAATAGAGAATAGACGTAGATGTCTATGGGCCGCAGCAACCACATACCATCGGGTGGACTGTGTGCTCGTTTGTCACCCTTATCCTATAAAAAAAATTCTAATAATTACGGGAAAAAATACAGTTATATTTCTACTTTTCATTATTCTGTTAAAAGTGACGTGTGCATTCCACAGCCAGAAACCTACGAATATTACGTGGATCGCAATAATAGTAATAGCTTACAAAAGTTTACTCTTGATGTAAGTCTTAGTTTGGCAACATTTCAAAATGAGTTGATCAGTCTAGTTTTATCTTGTAAATAGTTTTTGCAAGATATTTGGCGTTATCTATCATTTTCTTTCAGATTTTTGTTTTCCATAATCAACCCTATTTATACTATTATATATTTTATTATTAGTTCTCGAGGAGCAGCCTCGTACCGGTAGGCGGACTTGTGAAGGGCTGTCTGTGATGGTGATAAATATCATCATCATTATTACAGCCCTTCACAAGTCCACTGCTGAATATAGGCCTTCCCCAAGGAATGCCTTCCTGCATGTCTTACCAGGTCGTCACTCCATCTAGTGGGGAGTCACCCTACACTTCGCATACCAGTACAAGGCTGCCACTCGAGAACCTTTTTTCCCCATCGGTTGTCGTTTCTTCGAGCAATATGGACCATTGCCACTTCACCTTACTAATCCGTTGGGCTATGTCAGTTACTCTGGTCCTACTGCGGATATCCTCATTTCTAAGTTTATCACACAGAGAATCCACCGGGCATAGCCCTCTCTATAGCTCATTGAGCGACCTTGAGTGAAGGACAACGTCTTAGATTCATACGTCATCACTGTCAACACACACTGGTTGTCCAATCTTATATAAATATATTGTATACTAAGTAAACTAGAATTGGAGCTGATCTCTCTTCCACGCGGCGAATCAAAAAAAGAGCATCTCTTCCAACTACCAAGTAGGCTTGGCGAACCCATTTTAACATAAAACGATGGACTACGTGGAGAGGATGGTATGTCCTTTCCTTCTGTTCTCTGCAACCGAGTTGGAATCTCGAAAACAGAGGAGTTGTAACTGCTATGTTTGATCGTAAATAAAATAACAATTCATCGTTAATCGTTTTATTGCTTTGTAAGCATTTAGGTATATTATTTTATAAAATTGGGACAAATCATGTAAGGATCATTCGCAAAGTCTAAAAAAAAGTGTGATATAATTTTGGCTCATTGTACACATATTTCTCAATTTTGGTCACGGATTTTTTCCGAACTATCAGACGGCAGAAACTTAAAGAGATTAGTTTTCAATTTTTTTTAAATAATGCCATTCTGAAAATTTACTTTCTGCCTATACTTTACTATAGATTCAAAAAGCTTTTACCCAACATTTCACATGATAACCCTTTAATAACCAACTGTGGCGTAATTGTAGGGCGCGGGCCGTGAACTCAAAGTCTTGGGTTCGGATCCGCCATTCGACGAGGACCAAAAAATACCTATTATAAATAGAGTGTAAAACGTCCGAAAATCAAAAATCCAATATAAAATCATAATTTTTAACAAAACTGGCCGTAGCAACCTATGTGGTAGCTGGAACCTAAAAAGGATGTTTTGCAAACGATATTTTGTCTAAATTTTAGATCTTATCATCGAAAATATGTATGTGTATACATATAAATTATCAATTAAAACCATAGTATTTGAAACCAGTTTGCCGAAATACATCGATTAAAAAACACCAAAACACAACACTATCTACCCCACGTGGCGTTCGCGATTCCTATCTAACAACACCAGCTGTAAAACACAAGATTTATCGACAGATTACCGAGCTGCGATAACGTACAAATCACCGCACTATTTGTAATATCATTTTCGGGGATATTTTAAAAATAACCTAATATTCATACTATACTCTATGAATTTCTGGTCATGGCATGTCTTTTAATTTCATAAGAAACAGCTAGCAGCTAACAGCAGCAGAAAAGCTAGTTGTTTTTTTTTTGATGAAGAATTACCTTTTAAAAAGCCAGCCAGCTTCGAGTTATTATTAGATACCATGTCTATAACTTTAAAGGATTGAGTATTTCTTGAACCTCTCCAATTAAGGTAAAAATGTTTAATGCCAGTAACAAATCTACAATCTTTTAAAAGAGCAGTTCATTGACCGTCAATAATTTTTATTACGGTAGGTTGGTAACAAATAAAAAATAAACTTTTTTTTCGTAGAAAAATAGTAAACCGGTTCATAAAATAACTACAAACGGTGGTAGAGCCCTGCAGCAGTTTTTAGCTGTTGCACGTATGGGCCGGCTCGAGCCGGGTTGGTACCACGACCTCACAGAATACCGGCGTGAAGTAGAGGCTCTGCTTCTGTGTTTCGTCTGGTGAGTGCAGGTGGCCGGAGGCCCAATTCCCCCCCCCCCCCTCAACATGGTAGCGGAATTAGACAATAGACTACCCCAGGAGGGTACCAGTACCCCTGGAGAATCCCTCGCTGAGCATCCACGACCATGTTATTCCAATCCTGAGCGTGGGTGCTCAGGCTGCCCCGCGTATTCTGGGGGGGGCAAAATTCCGCTCAAAAACAAAACTGCTCGGGGCAAGCTGAGCAACAATACCAAGGCGACCCCTGCCACGCTATCCGTGAATTTCTGCAACATCAGGGGACTTCACTCTAACCTAAACGCCGTCCACTACCATCTCGAGACGGCGAAGCCGGCCTTGCTCTTTTTAACCGAGACGCAGGTTTCCTCTCCGACTGATATTTCGTATCTCTCCTACCCGGGGTACAAATTGGAGCACTCCTTTGTGCCTCGGGCTGGAGTTTGCGTGTATGTTAGAGAGGACATCTGTTCTCGACGCCTCGGCAGTCTTGAAGGTTCGGACCTGTCCATCCTTTGGCTACGCGTAGACAGCGACGACCATCCGCGCGTCTACGGGTGCCTCTATAGGTCCCATAGCGGTAATGCCGAAACAGACCGACTCATCGACCACGTCCAAATGGCTACAGATTCCTTGCTACAACAGGTCCCATCCGCAGAGATCGTGATCCTTGGCGATTTTAACGCCCACCATGCCGAATGGCTCGGTTCACGTTTAACCGATCATGCGGGGAGATCTGTTTATGACTTTGCCTTGGCATATGGTCTGACACAACTGGTTACTTCGCCTACGCGGATTCCAGATGTGGAGGATCATACACCTTCCCTGTTGGACCTTCTGCTGACCTCTCATCCGGACGGATATCAGGTTTCCGTCGATGCCCCTCTCGGCTCTTCGGATCATTGTCTGATCCGGAGTATGGTGCCACTCACGCTCCCTTCGCGGTTGCGTTCTGCAGGTTGCCGCCGTGTTTGGCATTACAGGTCGGCGGATTGGGACGGAATGCGGTCTTTCTTTGCATCCTACCCATGGGGGCGGGTTTGCTTCTCGCCGGATGATCCCAGTGCTGTTGCTGACTCTGTCACTGATGTGGTGCTACAGGGAATGGAACTATTTATTCCATCATCTGTGGTACCCATCGGAGGCAGATCTCAGCCTTGGTTTGGTCGCTCCTGTAAGACTGCATTGCGCAGTAAGCAGGAGTGTTATCAAGCCTGGGCTGCGGCTTCGGTGACTCGGGATGTAAACACCAGCACACTTAAAAAGAAGTATAACTTCGCCTCCAGGTCCTTCAAAAGAGTTATTGCCAAGGCAAAGTCAGAGCACATAGGCAGAATTGGCGAGAAACTAGTTCGCCTTCCTTCGGGAACCCGTGCATTCTGGTCTCTCGCCAAGGCTGTCCAAGGGAATTTCTGTAAGCCATCACTACCATCTCTGCACAGGGAGGACGACTCACTGGCCCAAGACGCAAAAGACAAAGCCGACCTTTTAGGCTCCCTTTTTGCGTCCAACTCGACTCTTGATGACGGGGGGAAAATACCGCCGACCATCCCGCGGTGTGAGTGCTCCATGCCGGATGTGCTATTCTCACAGCGCTCAGTTCGCAAAGCACTTCTCTCCCTGGACATCCAGAAGTCGAGTGGGCCTGACGGAATCCCCCCAATTGTGCTGAGGACGTGTGCTCCGGAGTTGGCACCGGTCCTAACGCGTCTTTTCCGGTACTCCTACTCCCAAGGCGTAGTCCCGAATTCATGGAAGACAGCTTTTGTCCACCCGATCCCTAAAAAAGGCGACCGCTCAGACCCGTCCAACTATAGGCCTATCGCGATCACCTCCTTGTTCTCCAAAATAATGGAATCCATTATTAACTGCCAGCTCATCCGGTACCTTGAGGATCACCAGCTGATTAGTGATCGCCAATACGGTTTTCGTCGGTGTCGATCAGCTGGTGATCTTCTGGTCTACCTGACCCATAGATGGGCGAAGGCAGTAGAGTCCAAGGGGGAGGCGTTGGCCGTTAGTCTGGACATTGCGAAGGCCTTTGATCGGGTTTGGCACAAAGCGCTTCTTTCGAAGCTGCCTTCCTATGGGCTTCCCGAGAAATTGTGCAATTGGATCACCAGCTTTCTTGCAGATCGGAGCATCAAGGTCGTTGTAGACGGTGCATGTTCTGACTACAAGCCTATTAACGCTGGTGTTCCACAAGGCTGTGTGCTATCACCAACGCTGTTTCTTCTGCATATCAATGATATGTTGCTAACTGGTAACATTCATTGCTATGCGGATGACAGCACTGGTGATGCTCTATACACCGGCCGGGCCAATATTTCTCGGGAAAACGTCGCCGAATACCGGAACAAACTTGTGTCTGAAGTCGAGTCTTTGCTGGACAAAGTCTCGGATTGGGGGCGACTAAATCTAGTCCAGTTTAATCCTCAGAAGACACAAGTTTGCGCGTTTACCGCTAAAAAGAACCCCTTTGTCGTATCTCCTCAGTTTCAAGGCACTCCCCTTCTTGCCTCAGCCAGTATCGGTATCCTCGGAGTCGACATATCGAGTGACGTGCAGTTTCGTGGTCACTTGGAAGAGAAAGCCAAATTGGCCTCTAAAAAGCTTCGCGTGCTCAGCAGAGCGGGACAGTATTTCATGCCGGCACACCGCCTGCAACTTTACAAGGCGCAGGTTCGGCCTCACATGGAATACTGTTCCCATCTCTGGGCAGGGGCTCCCCAGTGCCAGCTCCTTCCACTTGACCGCATCCAGCGCAGAGCGGCTCGAATCGTCGACGACCGAGCCCTTTCCGATCGGCTCGATTCATTGGCACTGCGAAGAGATGTTGCATCTCTTTGCATTTTCTTTCGCATCTACCATGGGGAGTGCTCTGAGGAATTGTTCGGATTAATCCCAGCCGCCAAATTTCACGAACGCACATCGCGGCAGAACTCCCGATACCATCCACACCATCTGGATGATTGGCGGTCCACCACTGTGCGATTTAGAAGATGTTTTCTTCCTCGCACAACTTCCTTGTGGAATAGTTTACCACCAGGGATTTTTCCGGACCGATACGACTTAGGGACCTTCAAGAAAAGAGCCTACTCCTTTTTAAAAGGCCGGCAACGCATCTGCAATTCCCCTGGTGTTGCGGTTGTTCATGGGCGGCGGTAGTCACTTACCATCAGGTGAGCCGCATGCTCGTTTGCCCCCTGTCCTATAAAAAAAAAAAAAAAAAAAAAATTTCAAAGGTTCACAACTTTTACTTTGAGTAAAAAAAAGGTTAAATAAATTAAAATATGAATTTGGCTTTCTCTCTCTCTCTCTTTCTCTCTCTCTCTCTCTCTCTCTCTTTAATTCCTCGTTTCCAGTAAGAAGGGTCTCGGATTTAAGAGATAATCAATACTTAAATTAGGTAAACGTTAATTAACGGATTTACAAGGCCGATGATGTTTTGCTTATCTCTTATTAGATATATAAAAATCAATTGCTGTCCGTAAATCTTGCTAAAACTCGAAATTGGCTCGACCGATTCTGATAAAACACCTTGTGTGTGTTTAAGTGGGTCCCCTGACTGTTTAGATTCCCAATTGGACGCGGTAGGTGGCGTTGTTGTCGAGGTCCAGTAATAACCCGTGCGAAGCCGGGGCGGATCGCTAGTACTATATATATATACATACAGAATAATATTTAATTTTATACTATCACAAACTAAATGTATGTGTTTAATACTAAAACTTATTTAAAAAGAAAATACATTAAAATTCCGTACAAAAATATTAAAAAACGCATTTAAATCAATCGTTACAAATAGGCCTAAATATTCACATCGCTGCGCCCTGATTTTATCAGTAATCCGTAAAACGATTCGTTTATGGTCACAGACCTGTTGGGAGGTTAATTAATGACCATGTAGGGCCATATTACAAGTGGACTTACGATCAGAGAGGTCTAATAAACATGGTAACATTTTGAACATGTGTTTTAGAGTACCTAATATTGGGATGGCTTAGATTGTGTAATAAAAGTCATTTCTGGTTTTTCGGTGTAAGAGTGAGATTTATGATTATAATTTCTCGTGTTTCTTTTAATGGTAGAGCCACGCTGCAGCTATATTATGGTTGTAGCACAAATGGGTCGGCTCGACCGGGGAAGGACCACGCTCTCACATAATACCAGCGTAAAATAGAAGCTTAACGCTCCTGTGTTTCGTATGGCGAGTGTAGAGAACCGGAGACCCTTTTTACTGGAAACGAGGCATTCCATACTTAATCCTCACGAGTGACAACGCATCTGCATTTCTTATTAATCGAGGATAGATGTAGAATTCTTTGGACCACAGCAGCCACTTACCATCAGGTAGACTATGTGCTCACTTTTCAACCTCAAATAGGATATCCACAGTAGAACCAAAGTAATCGACATAGCCCAACGGATCAGTAAGCTGGAGTGGGAATGGGCCTCCATATAGCTTGAAGAACCGACAACCGATGGGGAAGAAAGATTCTCGAGTGACAGCGTCATACCGATAAGCGAAGTGTGGGCGGCCCCCCACTAGAAAGTGTGACGACCTGGTAAGACATGCAGGAAGTCGATGAATGCAGGTGCTCAGGACCGTGCTTTGGGGCTTTGATTGGGAGAGGCGTATGTTCAGCAGTGGACTTGTGAAGGGCTGTAATGATGAATGATTATGACACAATAAAATTATAAAATAGGAAATCTAAAATCTAGATAAATTTTACGTGGTAGAGCCATGCTGAAGCTATATTAGTAGTATAGTTGTAGCATGAATGGGTCGGCTCGACCGGGGAAGGACCACGCTCTCACAGTATACCAACATAAAATAGCAGCTTAACGCTGATGTGTTTCGTATGGTGAGTGTAGTGAACCGGAGATCCTTTTTACTGGAAACGAGGCATTCCATCTTAGTCCTCACGGGTGACAACGCATCTACATTTTACTTTGTAATAGAGGATAAATGTAGATGTCTATGGGGCGCAGCAACCACTTACTATCAGGTGGACTGTGTGCTCGTTTGTCACCCTATCCTATAAAAAAGCATAGCTTCTAACTCGAGCGAATATTACTTAACTGAGAACCCGATGTTGCAATCAAAGTTGTTTACTACAAATGAACGTTGTTTACAGAAACCTCAATGTCACATTTTACGACACTCATGGTCGACATGGCGACCACGAGTGTTGTAAGTGATGACAGACGGAAATTAAACAGTAGATGGGCAGCAGCATTTTCTACAAAACAACTCAAAATAATAAAAAAAATAAACTGCGGCTGCCAACCCGCCTGTCACTCATGGCAACTATGTGAGGCAGTCCATGGGAGGGCGCTATGTTCAGCAGTGGACTTTGAGATGTTGTAATGGATGAATGAACAAACGTCTGTGACAGACAGACGTAAAACACCTTAGAGATTCTATTAACAGAATATAATAGAATCATCGTCGTCATCTAATTACAGCACGCCACAACGCACCACAACACACATGACGAACGTATTTTATGAGTAATTTATATTTATTAACCCCCGACGCAAACAGAGGGGTGTTACATAGGCTGCACTAAAAGTATCGGGAATGGAATATTTCCACTGTTCCTGTCATATTAAAATCTTTTTAATTGAAAACTCCTTGGTTTTAAAAATCGAATACCATTTATTTATTTAAAAAAAGATTGTCGGTCTTGTCACAAGGTTTTGTCAAACTTGTATAGTCGTTGAGTATATGTTTGTAGTGTGTATCTATGTCTGTCTATGACATCAGAGATCCCAAACAGATAAACTGATTTAGATTTTGTTTCTTTTTTTTTTGTTAGAAAATGTTTTCAGACGTTTGAAGATCATCAGCTCTTTTTGTTTTGGGTTTTTTTTTTAATTTTAGTTATCCATTTGGCTTAGCTTTCCATTGACGTCCGTCGAGTTGGATGTTGATACGTATTTTTACCGAAAAGTTACACTATTATAAGCACACACACAAAGTTTCAACATGCGGAAACGCATAACTTTTGAAAAAAAAATTATTGAAAATCAATTATTCTTGCAATGTTTATGTCTAATCCTACCGTAAAACTGGCGCCATTTTGTAATGTCATTGTCGTCGTCAGTAAGGATGTCGATTCTTTCCAAAAAAGGTCGATTATGAAATCGAATCAAATCGTAAGCTGATGTATCGATTCACAAAAAAACGATTTCTAAAATATCTACATTTTTTATGTTTGCATTTATAATAATAATAATAATAATAATAATTCCTTTATTTCAGACCTTGATCCATAATTTGTTAGTAATACATTTTTACACTTTAAATACTAATGTTAGTTTCTTAAATATGTAAAATTACTTTTTAATATACTATTCCAGTCACTTAGCATATGCCCGTCACATCGTTCGGCGAACATGTTCAGAATACCGTTGCGGCTGCTACGCATTCTAATCAACAGGGAGTATACTCGTTTACGCATTATTGCAAAGAAGTCATCTGTTCTTGCTTCTGCGAACATACCTGATGCGCTACAAAAGCGAGGCAGCCCCAACAGGGCTCTGAAAATGTTATTATATAGAACACGAAGGTCACTGTAAGCGCGCTTTGTATATGTTGTCCATAAGCTGCACGCGTAAAAAGATTTGCAGTAGGTCTTAAAAAGTGCAATCTTGACTTCGTTGCTACACCGTGCAAACCTACGAATCAACATATTTCCACGGACCGACAGTGCCCTGCGCTCCCTCTCGATGTCCATATCATCTTTACAATTTTCAGTAATGTAGTGACCTAAATATTTAAACTGTTTTACTCTCTCTAGAGCAGTACCATTAAGTACAATAGGATGCACATACTTTGGACACTTATTTCCAGCTTTAAAAACCATAAACTGGCTTTTCTTAGCATTGTATACTAAACCATGTCTAACAGCATAATTCTCGCAAACACGTAACAATTTTCTAAGAGCACTGATAGACGGAGCAAGCAGCACCATATCATCTGCATAACTTAAATTGTTTAAACATACTCCATCTACATAGCATCCGATATACATGCTGCTCAACTCACCAATTAAGTCATTAATGTACAGGCTGAAAAGGTTTGGTGAACTTAAACCCCCCTGTCTCACTCCATATTCTAGCCCGTACGGATGAGAAAACTCGTCTGCCCACTTAACACTATTTATTTGATTGCTGTACCAATACTCAAAAATCGCGATAAGTTCAACAGGCATCTCGGTTTTCCTCAACTTACTCCACAATATCGAAGGCTTTTGACAGGTCTAGAAAACAAGCATACACAGGTGTTTTTCTGTCCGTATAGTACTCGATGGTTCGCTTGAGGGACAAAATGGCACTCTCTGTTGAAAGACCAGACCGAAAACCGAATTGGGCATCGTGCAGCTGCAAATGTTTTCTTATAATGTAAATATAAACCCATTTTATGAAAAACAAGAAAGATACCATAATAAATGATCTCTTATTGAAATTTGTTTTATTTTAACAGTACCTATTAGGGCAGATAACAAATAAAATAGGTTAGGTTCGACTTATGTCAAAGAACCGAATTGATTGACCCCGACTCCACCTGGTAAGAGTCTGTCCTACCCCTAGAGTGGTTTTATAGAGCCGGAGGCGCGTAGGGGGAGCAGCCTCCGCCTGCTGTAACAAATCGTAGGCATCGGACGAGCCGGAGCGGCTGAGGCTGGTCGCCTAAGGCGACCAACATGCCGAAGCTGCGGAGGCCAGGAGGCTCTACGCTAAGGCGTAGAGGCTGCTCTTCCCGCAGCGCCGGAGACGTAGCAGTCTCAAAATAGTTACAGAAATCCTTCTGAATCAGATTTTTTATGCCTATTTTTGACCCCTATTTTTTTATGATGAAGGGGATTTTTTCTCATACAATGGATTTATATTTACATTATAAATGCAAACATGAAAAAATATAGATATTTTAGAAATCGATTCTTTGGGAATCGATACATCAGCTTACAATTCGAATCTATTTAGAAAATCGATCTTTTTCGGAAAGAATCGACACTGACAATAACAATAAAATATGGCGTCAGTTTTACGGCAGGAATTGACATAAATATTGCAAAAATAGTTGATTTATTTTTTTTTTCTCAAAACGTACGTGTCCCCGAATGTTGAAACTTTGCGTGTGTGCTTATAATAATGTA